ATATATGTGTATTGACTTATGTGATTATTAAGATGTGTATATGTCTTCTCTCTCTACAATTCGAATCTAGGTAGGGTTAATTAGCTAAATGAACATGAACACATAATTATTTTGTTAAATGATCAAAAGATAAATATAGTTGTTTTTAGTATGAGCGACCAAACAAAATAAAAATAATTTTTTTTTAGTATAGGTATCAATCCGAAAAGCTAGCCGAATCTAATCCAAAATTAAATGATAAACTTGCAAATCGAATCAAATACTAGTAAGGAGTAATTAAATCACTGATTAAAAACAAAAACACAGTACAGTTCACCATAAATAGTTATATATCGGGCTTTATATCTTAAAAGTTTATGGGCCAGAAAGGTCCCAAAAAACAAAACTATGAGATCTATCATTTGGTTGATCAGGCAGCGAGGATATTTCGTTCAGTCGATACGTCGAACACCTTGCGTGCCTTCTTCGCCTCCGGTGAATCAAACTAATTTTCAAGCCTCGAGCTTTCTCACTGCGCTAATCTCTCCGACGAAATCCCCGGACGAGACGTGTAGCGGGTCTGAAGTAGAAGAAGAGCCCAACAAATGTTTGTCTCTGAGAATCGAAAAGCTCCCGAAAGGAGTAACTGTTGGGTCTGCGTTACAGAGCTGGATGGGCGATGGGTTTCCAGTTCATGGTGGAGATGTTTATCACGCCATTAATCGGTTGAGGAAGCTCGGAAGAAACAAACGTGCCCTTGAGGTACCAATTCTTACTTGCTTCTAACCATTTTATGTATCTGAAACTCTGAATAGTTTTGGAGATAGAAATTGATACAAGTTCGTGTGATTACATTTAATAGAGGCAACATCAATCGTATGAAGTAATTCTATAGAGACAAGTCGATTGGATTTATGATTTAAACATGATATTGAAGGAAAAAGTAGAAACTTTTAGATTCAAGGATTGTTGTCTCAATGTGATTTTGCCAATTGAACTGAGTTGAATGTTCTGGTATGTTTGTTTAGTTGATGGAGTGGGTGATCAGGGAAAGACCGTATCGTCTTGGCGAGCTAGAGTACTCATACTTGCTCGAATTTACAGTTAAGCTTCACGGCATTTCACAAGGCGAAAAGCTCTTTACTCGTGTCCCTCAAGAGTTTCAGAACGAGCTTCTTTACAACAACCTCGTGATCGCTTGCTTAGGTCAGGGTGTCATTAGGCTTGCACTAGAGTATATGAAGAAGATGAGAGAACTCGGTTACCGTACATCCCATTTGGTCTACAACCGTCTTATAATCCGCAACTCAACTCCCGGACGAAGAAAACTCATCGCGAAAGATCTTGCGCTCATGAAAGCCGACAAGGCGATTCCTCATGTCTCAACATATCATATCTTGATGAAGCTTGAGGCTAATGAACATAACATCGATGGGGTGCTAAAGGCTTTTGAGGGTATGAAGAAAGCGGAAGTTGAGCCGAATGAGGTTTCTTACTGTATATTGGCTATGGCACATGCTGTAGCGAGATTGTATACAGTTGCTGAAGCCTATACCGAGGAAATTGAGAAATCTATCACGGGGGATAATTGGTCGACCTTAGATATATTGATGATTCTCTACGGACGTTTAGGAAAAGAAAAGGAGCTAGAAAGAGCGTGGAATGTCATCAAAGGATTTCACCATGTCAGATCCAAGAGCTACTTGCTGGCAACCGAAGCGTTTGCGAGAGTAGGGAAACTTGATAGATCTGAAGAGCTCTGGTTAGAGATGAAGAACGTAAGTGGACTTAAAGAAACAGAGCAATTCAACTCTCTGCTCTCTGTATACTGCAAGTCCGGAATGATAGAAAAAGCAATTGGCATATTCCGCGAGATGACGGAAAATGGGTTCAAGCCTAATTCCATAACCTATAGACATCTCGCTCTCGGATGTGCTAAAGCCAAGCTGATGAAAGAAGCTCTCAAAAACATCGAAATGGGTTCGAATCTAACGACGAGCAAAAGCGTAAGAAGCTCAACGCCGTGGCTAGAGACAACTCTATCGATCATCGAGTGTTTCGCAGAGAAAGGTGATGTAGAGAACTCAGAGAAACTGTTTGAAGAGCTGAAGAATGCAAAGTATAATAGATATGCTTTTGTGTACAATGCTCTGTTCAAGGCTTATGTGAAAGCTAAAATCTATGACCCTAATTTGTTCAAAAGGATGGTTCTTGGTGGAGCTAGACCTGATGCTGAGTCATACAGCTTGTTGAAACTTGTTGAACAGTATAAGCCTTGACTCTCAAGTCTGCTGCATTTTTCTGTTGTCAATCTTATCTACCTTTAATGTTTGTATGGTTTCCTTATTTAACCACACGAGTGTTTAAAATAGCCTTAAAAATCAATTTTAATGGGTAAACAAAAACTAAACGAGATTAGGATAAATGGATAATTGAGATTAACTGGC